GAATCCCATTAGTTCTTGACCCTTTACTTTGATCACCCTCAAATAATCTCCATTTGACTCCTTCTCAGTACTCCATACACGCATTATCTTCACAGGCTCTTCCTGTGCATGTGGAGACTGACTTTCTTCGTGTGGAGATATTTGCCTAACCACCTTAACTGGCTTTGGTGGTGTAACTGGCCTTTTCTGGGTGTTTAATTTAGGGCAAGCCGTTTTCTTATGACCCTCTTGATGGCAGAAGTAACAGACAAGTTTTCCTGTGGCAATCTCTGGAATGCGGTCCCTCCTGACAGGATTTTGGTTTCCTACGTCAGTTTTCTCTTTTGGAACCCATTCCCTCGGTCTCTTGGTGGCTCCTGAGCCATGACTCACATTCCAGTCATGCTCCATCTCATCCAACCAAGCCGCGAGATCTGACACTTGTTTAATCTTCTTGTCCTTAACAAACCACATCATTTGTATGGGAATCAGTCTATAAAACTGCTCCATACAAACTAAATGTTTTAACTCCTCAAAAGTGGTCGTTTTACTTCCTTCCAGCCATCTCTCTAAGGCTTTTTCCACTCGGCTTCCCAATTGTGAAAAGGTTTCTCCTGGCTTTCTTTTGATCTCCCTGAACATTTTCCTACTTTGTTCAGGAGTCAAGCCAAACCTCAGCTTCACCCTTTCTTTAAATATGAGGTAACTTCCGCTCTCTGTCCTCTCGCAGATCAGCATAAACCTCATTAAGTTCCCCACAAAGCAGGGGCCTCAGGTACACCATCATTTTATCTTCAGGTACCTGAAAATCATGAGCAGCCCGTTCAAATGCAGCGAGAAATGACTCAACGCAGTCCCCTTTCACATATCGGGGAAAGTTCTTTAACACCCTTTGCATGTTAGAGTCTTGTTGTTGGCTTAAGTTAGGAGTTCTCTCATGTTCTCTAAATTGTAGTTCTGCTAGTTCTGCCATTCTCTCCTCATGTCTTAAGCGCTCCCTTTCTACCTCAGCCATTCTTTCTCTCTGCCTCTCTTCAGCTTGCATTCTTTCTCTTTCCAATTCAATCATTCTCTCTTTCTCTTTCAGCCTGAATCTTTTCTCTTTCTCTTTCAGCCTGAAACTTTTCCCTTTCCAATTCAATCATTCTTTCCCTCTCTCTTTCTTCAGCTTGTCTCTTTTCTCTTTCCCTTTCAGCCTGAAACTCAAGTTCTTTCAACCTCATTTCTAGCCTAAGCTTTTCAATGGCCAAAGAGGTAGCTATCTGTTCTTGCCTACCCTCTGGTATTTGGGTCTCAGTCCCCTCAACTACAGATGCAGTAGTTTCCCCTTCTCTCTGTGGGTCTTCAGGAGTGCCCTTTTTTGTCTTTGGTGGTGCCATGGCCTAATGTGTTGTAAAATGGCGCTAGAGGTGTTCACTCTCTGAGGTAATTCTTGGTGTCACGTTCTGACAAAATTTTACCTCAGGATTTACACAAAAATGCCCTGGATTGAGATGTTACACGAATCCACACCGCTGCAAACCAATTATAAAGACCTTCGAGGTATCTGGGCAGGGGGGAACAATCAAAGAAATCCCACCACTGCCAAAACAATTATAATAACTCAAAAGAGGCTTCTCTGGACAGGGGGTCAAACGAATCCCACCTCTGCCTTTCCTTCAATAAGGAATACACACCTCTTCGGCTATTCTAGTGTGTGAGGGGATGTCACGTTGAGTAAAACCTTCGCTGCCACCAAACTAAAGAAATCACAAACCCTCTAGCTATTAGTCTGTTAATAGGCTGTTTAAAATTACCCCAAGGCTTTTTTACTCCACCATTAAAAAGACTGTTAATTATCAAGGGCTTTCTCTGAGGGGAAAACAGGAGAGGTTGATTTAAAAAAGAAAAGGACTCAAAACCAAAAATAGCACTTGACTCAGGCTTTAAGTTTAAAAATAATCAAGAAAGAGTTTATTGATTACAAATTCAGAAATAACACGAGAATGCAGGTACTGAGGCTTGATGGTTACAGATAAAAGTGTTCTTGTTTCTTATAAGCGTATTGGTTGCTTGAGAGAATGTTCTTTTCTTAGTTACAGTTTCATTAAACACAAAGCCCAGCTATTTTTCCTCGTATTGGTTTCTAGAGAGAATGTTCTTTTCTTAGTTACTGTTTCATTAAACACAAAGCCCAGCTATTTTCTTCACAATAGCTGCAACTCAGTCTGCCACAGCCTACTGTGCTGTACAGACTAAAGGCAAGCTGCCTATCCTAAATAGAGACTCTTAAACAATCCCAAATCTTTCTCAGAACTAAAACTGCTCACTACACTTCTCAGAACTCAGCTGAACTCACTCTAAAACTGTCAAAACTCACTGTTCTCTTTCCCTCCTTCTGGCTAACTCCGCCCCTATTTCCTAAACCAATCCTAGCTGTTGCTGGGCTGGCACAGGCCTCAGCCACTCCCCCTTCTGCACTGGAGCTTTTTCCCTACTCTAAAATGGCTCCAGCAGCACTCTGCCAGGCCTTCCAAGCTAAACTACCTAGCCTGACTTTTCCTGGCCCTGCCACCCTGGCTGGCAAGGTAAGGGATCTTTACAGAGGCTACAGACAATGCCGTTGCTATTGCCCCTTTTTGGTCAAAAGATATTTAGCCACCTGTGCCTCCTTCTAATTTTACTAGTTTTATACTAATTTATGCAATGCTTTTGATATGAAATAAATCAATAAGTTGGAGAAAAGAAGGCTGAGACCATGGGACATGGTAGCCATGTTTGTTTATTTATTTATTTACGGCATCAGTATTCTATATTACTATATTGCACTATACCATTATATTGTAATATTATTAGTAATATTGCATGTAATATTACATGTAATGTAAATATATAATTATAATTGTAATATTGTATTATTATTACTAGTATTATGTTGGAAAATTCAAAAGGTTATCCCACTAAGGAAGGAAGACTAGGACATAACGGGTGATAAGTACAAATTACAGGACGAGAGACTCCACTTAGGAAGAGTGATGGTAAGAGCTGTTTGGCTGTGGAATAGGATTTCCATACTGGGAGAAAAGCAGGGTATAACCCTACTGGCTCTTAGGAAATTGTGGGAGTTGACATCCAGAACACCTGGCAGGTCAAAGTTTGCCCATATCTGGCCTAACCAGTGGAATCCCAGGGCCTTCTCTGGAGCTCTTAGAGAATCCTAGAGTTGGAAAAAACCCTAAGAGGGGCCATCTAGTGCATCCCCTTTTGCCAGGCAGGAAGAGACAATTAAAGCCTGCCTGACAGAGGACCATCCACACTGTTACTATTTAATTGTTTCTAAACTTCTGTATTGTGCTTCTTAAACTGGGCTAAGTGTGGGATAGTTAGCTGCCTTGAGTCCCAATGGGGAGAAAGGCAGGGTATAAATAAAGATGATAATAATAATAATAATAACAACAACCACCTCCAAAGGAGGAGACCCTTGTTGGGTGAGTGGGCTTATCAACAATAAACCCTCCCCATAAATGTACAGCAGAGTAACTTATTAGCAACATTGTGACCCAGCACCAACAACCACCATGTCAGACTACACAGAGAAGCCATTGAAATCCACAAGCATGTGGACAATTTCAACAGAAAGGAAGAGACCATGAAAATGAACAAAATCTGGCTACCAGTATTAAAAAAACCTCTAAAATTACAACAGCACAACAGCAGAGAGGAAACAACCAGGCACATCTTAACACCTCTCAACAAAAGATTTTCCCAGGCTCAGCCAGGCCTTCAAATGCTAATGAAGGTGGTCAGTTGAAACATTCACACCTAGCTCCAGCAGAGAAGAGCTCTTTGCCCCGCCCCAGCCATTCCACAGATATATAAACCCATTGTCCTAATTCCAACAGACCTCACTACCTCTGAGGATGCTTGCCATAGATGCAGGCGAAACGTCAGGAGAAATGCCTCTAGAACATGGCCCTATAGCCCGAAAAAACCCACAAGAACCTAATATTATATGGACTATTCATAGCAACAAGGTTTCCATGACACAAATAAAGTTCTACCTTCACACTGGAGCTTCACATATGAGGCCGTCTCATACTGAGGCCTACCTCACAATCAGACCTACTAACAATGAGGCCTATTCTCCCACAGAGGCTTCTCTCACACTGAAAGCTTTCTTGGGGCCCTTCCACACAGCCTATATCCCAGAATATCAAGGGAGAAAATCCCACAATATCTGCTTTGAACTGCATTATCTGAGTCCACACTCAGATAACATAGAATTCCCCATCGTGGTCCCTGTGAACCGCACATATGGTATTCCCTGCGCCTGCGTAGACAGTTCAGAATCTTCTAGAAAACGTATTAGACACTTTTCGGTGGTAGCCCCGCCCACTCTCCCCTTGAGAGTATATATAGCCAGTGGTAGGGGCTACTGCCTCAGTTCCTTTCATCCGCCGCCATTGCAGCAGCTAGGAATCTTTCTCTCATCCCTTGATATTCTGGGATGGAGGGCTGTGTGGAAGGGCCCATAGTCATGGCATCCATTTAATAATAATAATAAACATTGTTTATACCCTGCCACCATCTCCCCGATGGGGACTTAGGGCGGCGCACATGAGGCCAAGCCCAACCACACAATACAATAAATGAAATCGAAACACAAACAACAACATAACAAATTACATAAAGCATGAGAATACAGTAAACAATATAAAATGACAATAAAATAATTCATAACACAGTAACAGTGAGCGGGCCGCATGTACAGAGTAAAATACTAAAGCTAAAAACATGGGGTGAGATAGAGAATGAGCAGATTATTTATTTATTTATTTTTAAAATAATTTTTATTGTTACATGGTGTATGCAGAAAATAAAACAAATGAACAAAAGGAAAAACATGCAAAAGATTTACAAAAGAGTCAATATTCAGTGCTTTTTAAACATATGTACAATCAGATTTGGTTATACAATTATTTATACCTTAACATTACATAACCCTCTATCCCCCACCCGTGCACTCCACCCCCTGACCTCCGAAACCCCTCAAAACATATGCTTTCCTTTTAAATTCATACCCTTTTACCTTAACTCCTTTAATTTCACTAGCTTCTCTAATTCTTTCGTTCAGAATTTCTAATATCCAGATAAACAATAGCGGTGATAGGGGACAGCCTTGTCTTGTTCCTTTTTGAATTTCTATATAATTTGACATTTGGTCATTTATTTTTAGTTTAGCCCTTTGTCTTGAGTAAATGGCTCCTATGGCCTTTCTGAAATGTGGACCCACTCCAGAATGGTCCAATACTTTAATCAAATAGTCCCATTGCACATTGTCAAATGCTTTCTCTGCATCTAAGAATAGTAATGCGAATGAGCAGATTATTTATGAGGGAGAAACTCTTCAGGAATGGGGTCGAGAAGGGCCTTCGTGCAGGAGGGGAGGAGGTGTACTCTAAAGACAAACGTTGAGGGATAACAGCAATATAAAATTGCATGGTTAATCTCCAAAAGCGCAACGGAAGAGCCAGGTTTGAGATTCTTCTTAAAACTTTCTAGAGTTTAACCCTTTCAGTGCTTGACTCACATTTTTGTAATTAAAAATACCTAGTTAATTTCTGACAACCCCCATGTTTTATTCCCTTGTAACATAGCTCTAAGTGTCAGGAAGTTCTTCCTTGTGTTTAGGTGGGATCTCTTTTCCCGCAGTGTGAACGCATTACATGCTGACCTCTGACGCGCTTTCCCTTGCTTTCCTTTCAGGGCGAGGCCCTCGGCAAGGTCCCCAACGGCCCTTCATCGGAGAATGGGGAGCCCTCCTCGGCAGGCGGCAGCAGCGAGGAGACAATGGCGGCCCTGGTGAACGGGGTGTCCTAGGCGCCACCCGGAGCCATTGCTGCTTTTGCAGCCATGCCCTCCTCCTCCTCCCCTTCATCGGAGAATGGGGAGCCCTCCTCGGCAGGCGGCAGCAGCGAGGAGACAATGGCGGCCCTGGTGAACGGGGTGTCCTAGGCGCCACCCGGAGCCATTGCTGCTTTTGCAGCCATGCCCTCCTCCTCCTCCTCCTCTTCCTTCTCCTCCTCCTCCTCCTCTTCAGCAGAATCCGATCCTTACTCTCCGCCTGCTTGCAACATCTTAAGAGGGGAAAACAAACAAACGGAAATAAAACACCACACCAGTCTCTCGTTTCAAGAACAAAAAACCCATTACTTAAAAACCAACCAACCAACCAACCCACCCACCAACTGCAAACCGACCTGGATCCCGAGGTAACTTTGATCCTAAAGAAACGCTTGCCAAAGACGGGGGAGAAAGAACCCTTTGCGTGACCGACCACCGCGCGTCACACTTCCCGGTGCGCATCAGAGAGAGGTGAGGGAGGAGGAGGAGCCCACCCTGGGCTTCCCGCGCATCCATCCCTTGGGGGACTTCGTCAGGATGAGTTCTTCTTCTGGTTTATTTTTATTTTTTGGTTGTTTTGTTTTGAAAGACACTTTTGGAGGGGAGGGGGAGACAAACAAAAAAAAAAACACCCAGGGGACGGAGAGGGAGAGAAACCTGTGCCTTCTGATCATTCAGACACACACACACACATGAACACACAGAGACACGCACACAGACACGACACACCCGAGGCCCCGCAGCGCAGAGAGGTCTCGTTCTTTTCCTTTGTATCCTCGGACGAGTTGAAGGCAATGGCCGGAGAGAGAGAATGAGAGAGAGAGAGCGAGGCGGGAGGGCGGCCCCTTCCAAGGGATCGGTGGCGGGCTTGTTTTCGGACCCCTTCTTCCCCTCGAAATGGCCGCATGGTGCTCAGAGGCAGCGTGGTTCTGCCTGGGAAAGGGAAGGCCTGTCCCAAGCGCCCCCCCCTTTTTTTCTTTTCCTTTCCTTCTCCTTTTATGGAAACACTGTGGAAGACGGGAGTTAGAGAAGCAAAACGAGAGAAACGACAGGCTGAAGATGGCGCTGAGGCCGCCTCCTCCTCGCTCCTTCCGAAGCGGCCGCCTCGCGTCTCGCGTGTTTTTTTTCTGCGTGGAGGGGGATAGCGGGGTTTGATCTGTGACGGTTGAGACTATTTATTTTTCACTGTACAGTATTTAAAAAGAGAATTAAAAAAAACCCAACTCTTGAAAAAAAAATCCAAAAATGAGGCACCCATTTCCATTTGTGTCCCATGTTCTTTTGCGTGTGTGTGTGTATGTGATTGAAAAGAAGCAAGGGAGTGGAGGGATGATTTATTGTTGCCACCAATTTGAAAGGAACCAGTATTCAGGAGATTTTACCCCAGTTCCCAATTTTAAAAAGAACTGGCCGATTTGCAATGGAGGTTGCCGATTAGGAACCAAATTTACCATCAAGTTAGAAGGGAGGCTGTTCAATTGCACCTCCTCCTTTATTAAGAAAGTAATAACTTAGTAGTAATTACACTGTATATACTGTAGCGTGACTGGAGAGAAGAATGTAGATTTATTTGGTTACTTTCCCTGCGTTTCTGCCACCACGTGAGGTAAGTTGTAATATTGTGAGAAATGGCACTTTGGACACAGAATAGACGGAGCTGAGGCAATCTTCAAATAAAAGTTAACAATTTTATTAAGTACACAGCGTGTGGTTGCAAGACGTAACTTTTCCTTGTTGCACTTGGAATAATACTTGTAACTTTAACAGTTCATTCTTTCAAGTAACACAGTATCTTTCTGACGTAGAGCACTTGTTTCAGACAAAGTTTCAATACAGGGATGTTTCCCTTATTTGATCCTCCCTAGATCAAATACTAAGTAAACTATTCTTTAGCCTCTCCTTAGACTAAAAGAATTCCAGCTCTGTGTCACCATTCGGCTGCACTAGCCTGAGAAAATTCCAATAGCCAAACCCAGCTTTTCAAAGCCTCAAAGCTTTGCTTCACAAGTCACTCCGCCACCTTTTCCTTTCCTTCTCTCCCAACTCCTAACTCCTCACTCCTCTGAACCTAACTCCTGACTCCTCTGAACCTAAACCCTAACCGATTTTTAACTGTCGTTTTTTTCAAACTCTCCCCTCTAAGCTCCTCCCACTTCCCTCTCTCCTGCATCGGTCTCCATGGCAACGCACATGGAGGACTCCTCTGACTTAGGCCGCTCCAGCATTACTGCAGCCAATCTAAACACAAATACAGTTAAAATCATACAATTTATAATCAACTCCTGTACAGTGATGTTCTCTCTGTCGGGACCACAAAGGGCAAAGGCCCTGCCAAAAGTGTGGGGCTGAAGGAATAATAATAAATAATAATAAAACTTTATTTATACCCCGCTACCATCTCCCAAAGAGACTCGATGTGGCTTACATGAGGCCAAGTCCACAGTACATCAGTATTTATTATTTATCGTGTCAGTATCAACCAGACAATTGTATTACATTTTTAACAATTTTTTAACAAACAGAACAGAGTTTGCAAGCTTGGTATTTGGTTAAATGTCCTTTGACCAGTATCTGGCCCCTTGAAGTGCCTCTGGTGCTGCCGCAAGAAGGTCCTCCATTGTGCCTGTGGCAGGGCTCAGGTTGCATTGCAGCAGGTGGTCAGAGGTTGGCTCTTCTCCGCACTCGCATGTCGTGGATTCCACTTTGTGGCCCCATTTCTTGAGGTTGGCTCTGCATCTCGTGGTGCCAGAGCGCAGTCTGTTCAGCGCCTTCCAAGTCGCCCAGTCTTCTATGTGCCCAGGGGGGAGTCTCTCCTTTGGTATCAGCCATTGATTGAAGTTCGGGGTTTGAGCCTGCCACTTTTGGACTCTCACTTGATGAGGTGTTCCAGCAAGTGTCTCTGTAGCTCTTAGAATCATAGAATCAAAGAGTTGGAAAAGACCTCCTGGGCCATCCAGCCCAACCCCATTCTGCCAAGAAGCAGGAATATTGCATTGAAATCACTCCTGACAGATGGCCATCCAGCCTCTGTTTAAAAGCTTCTAAAGAAGGAGCCTCCACCACACTGCGGGGCAGAGAGTTCCCCTGCTGAACAGCTCTCACAGGAAGTTCTTAGAAAACTATTTCTTGATTTAAGTCATTGACGTGCTGGCTGATACCCAAACAGGTATCATATAATATATAATATTATAACAATAGTAATAATAACTGCTTAAATCCCAAAGCCAAAATATAATAATTGTATTAATATGGTTATAATATTAATTATTATGGTTATAATATTGATTATTATATAATTATATAATACTATAGTAGTAGTATAATAATAATAAAATTGCTAAAATACCAGTTAAAATATAATAATTATATTAATATTATAATATTAATTACTATGATTATAACATTATAATATTGATTATTATATAATTATATAATACTATAATAATTATAATAAAATTGCTAAAATCCCAAAGCTAAAATATCATTTTATTACTATGATTATAATAATATTAATTACTATATTATGATTATAATAATATTGATTATTATATTATTATAATTTATAATTATATTCTATAATAGTTATAATAATGATGCTAAAATCCCAAAGTCAAAATATTATAATTATATTGATACGATTTTAATAATATTAATTATGATAATAATAATAATAATAATAATAATAATAATAAAATTGCTAAAAACCCAAAGTCAAAATACTATCCAAATTTAAGCTATTTGGCCAGAAATGGAAAGAATAGCACGAGATCATATATTGTGACAAATGGTAGAAGCCCAATTGATAACAAGGATGAAAAATAAGCTGATAAGGTAAACTAAATGGAGAAGATCAAACAAATACAGGCAGTAGGGAAGGAGGGGCGTGGCTTTAGTTTGGGGGCGTGGTTATGGAAAGGAAGTTGGTCATCTGCAATGAATGAAAGGGGAGGAGGGGCGTGGCTAACGAGGGTTGTATACAAGAAGAGGCGTGGTTGGAGGCTACAGGGCGTGGCTAACCTCGAAAGTGAAGCTCCAATAGGCCGGAGGAGAGGGGGCGTGGCCTGCTTCACAACTGAAGGTCCAATAGGGAAGAGAAGGGGTGTGGTTTCTGCAGGAGGCGTGGCCCGCATTGCAAACGAAGCTCCAATAGGCAGGGGAACGGGGGCGTGGTCTCTCAGGGGGGAGTGGCTCGCCTCGCAAGTGAAATTCCAATAGGCCGGAGGAGAGGGGCGTGGCCTGCTTCGCAAATGAAGCCCCAATAGGCATGAGAAGAGGGCGTGGTTTCTATAGGAGGCGTGGCCCGCTTCGCTAGTAAAGTTCCGATAGGCAGGAGAGTGGGGCGTGGTTTTTTGGGGGGGCGTAGCCACATCGCAAACGAAGCTCCAATAGTCAGTAGAATTGGGGGCGTGGTCTCTTTGGAGGCGTGGCCACATAGCAAGTAAAGGTCCAATAGCGAAGAGAAGGGGGCGTGGTTTCTGTGGGGGGCGTAGCCACAACGCAAGCGAAGCTGAGAAGGGGCGTGGTTTCTTTGGGGGGCGTGCCCACACCGCAAGTAAAGCTCCAATAGAGAAGAGAAGGGGCGTGGTTTCTTTGGGGGGCGTGACCACATCGCAAGTAAAGCTCCAATAGAGAAGAGAAGGGGCGTGGTTTCTTTGGGGGGCGTGCCCACACCGCAAGTAAAGCTCCAATAGAGAAGAGAAGGGGCGTGGTTTCTTTGGGGGGCGTGCCCACACCGCAAGTAAAGCTCCAATAGAGAAGAGAAGGGGCGTGGTTTCTTTGGGGGGCGTGACCACACCGCAAGTAAAGCTCCAATAGAGAAGAGAAGGGGCGTGGTTTCTTTGGGGGGCGTGCCCACACCGCAAGTAAAGCTCCAATAGAGAAGAGAAGGGGCGTGGTTTCTTTGGGGGGCGTGAACACACCGCAAGTAAAGCTCCAATAGAGAAGAGAAGGGGCGTGGTTTCTTTGGGGGGCGTGACCACATCGCAAGTAAAGCTCCAATAGCGAAGAGAAGGGGGCGCGGCTTCGTGGGGAGGCGTGGCCCGCCTCGCAAGTGAAGCTCCAATCGGTGAGAGAAGCGAGTATGTTTTCTTTGGGGGCGTGGCCACATCGCAAGCAGAGCTGCAATAGGCTGGAGAGCAGGGGGCGCGGTCTCGATGGGGGCGTGGTCTATTCCCCCCTATATATAGCCTCCGCGCCGCGCGTGCCGCTTCACAACCGGCGGGACTAGCGAAGGAGGAGGAGGATGTGTGCTTGTGTTTACCCTCCAGAGCGCCAGGGAGGCGAGGCCCAGGGCCCGGCCTCACCAGAGGAAGAGCCGCTGAAGGTGAAGCGGCCGATGAACGCGTTCCTGGTGTGGTCGTGCGGGGAGCGTCGCCGCGTGTCCGAGGCCTTCCCGCGGATGCACCACTCGGAGATCTCGAAGCGCCTGGGCGCCGCCTGGCACCTCCTGCCCGAGGCCCAGAAGAGGCCCTTCCGCGAAGAGGCCCAGCGCCTCCGCCACACTCACCTCGCCCTCCACCCGCACCACAAGTTCCGGCCACGCAGGAAGAGGAAGGGGCGACCCCGCACGGGCCAGGCCCAGGTCCAGGCCCCCACCCCGCCAGGGGAAGAAGGACACGCCCACGCCCAGCAGGACACGCCCAGCAGGTAGGAGGAGGAAGAGAGAGAGGGGTCACTATTCACCATGCACCCCTCTTGCAAACTAGGATTTCTTCCCCTAACCATTTCTATTTTAGCTCCACTTTATTTTTGTGATATTTTTATATTTAATTTAATTTTTGTTCGATGTTGTTGTTGTTGTTCATTCGTTCAGTCGTCTCCGACTCTTCGTGACCTCCTGGACCATCCCACGCCAGAGCTCCCTGTCGGCCGTCACCACCCCCAGCTCCTTCAAGGTCAGTCCAGTCACTTCAAGGATGCCATCCATCCATCTTGTATATATATATAAAAGGTAAAGGTAAAGGTAGTCCCCTGACATTAAGTCCAGTCATGTCTGACTCAGGGGTGTGGTGCTCATCTCCATTTCTAAGCCGAAGAGCCAGCGTTGTCCGTAGACACCTCCAAGGTCATTATTATTATTATTATTAACTTTATTTGTACCCCGCTAGCCTACGAGCCCACGAGGACCTTGAGATCGTCTGGGGAGGCCCTTCTCTCGATCCCGCCTGCTTCACAGGCA